TTATTTTTCTCTTTTCCTAAACGATGACGATGTGTGTACAGAAGCTAACACTTAGATGATGTGTGTTCACAGGCTCGGATAAATTACAGACTTTCAATGTGTTTTTTGTTTTTTTTGAGTTTGTGATTTTTATAAAGTAAAAAACACACTGTATCTGTAGAGTGCTAAAGAATGTGCTGCTTTAAATGCCAGTTAGGTTTTAGATGTTGTTGACAGCAGACAGTAAAGTGTAATATACCTCATTTTGCTATGGTGATGGATTCTACATCCTGGAGTGTTTTGTTTTATGTACCTCTTAGATAATTTAATCTGGTCTCAATGCTGCTGCTGCTGCTGCTAGTGATGATGACGATGATGAAGATGATGATGATGGTGATGATGCTGTTGTTAGAACGGTTCCTTTTTCCCAATTTAAATTGTACAATTAAAGGGAAGACTAAAAGAACTCACTTTCTTCTGTTTCTATTTCTAAAGTTAACGGGTTTCCAGCATTTTGAACATGTTTTTGTCCAGATTATATAAAGATAAAAAAATGCTGAAGTGCTTAGCAGTTAAAAGTATGTTTTGTCATATTATATATATTATATAAAACTTCTGACCCTGTACTGCTTTCTTAGTTAGTTAGTTTATTGTCTGTAGTTGTCTGTAGTTCTAGTCCAGAGTCCAAATGCCTCCTTTTTCAATAGCAGCCGTCTGTTATTGGTTGAGTCAGAGCAGAGTGATTGTTCAATATACTCTGCAGAGCAGGAGGTAATGAAAGCACATCAGAGGCTGCTGAGACGACCACAGCTGCAAATCTGTACACTGATTCTGACCACAGGAGCCACTGATTATCTCAGAGTGGTTGGCACTAACAGCAGCGTACGGCTTAATCATGACCAGCCCCTGCCCACTCAGTCAACTGACCTCCCAGAGAGAGAAGTGAACCACAACTTGGACTGGACAGAGGACACTTGGCTTTTTTTTTAATTTTTCACATCACATCACCTTTCATAAGGAGTCAGAAGGGAAAAAAAGAAAAGGTAAATTAACAAATTTATTTACAATCATTGTAATCCATTTGTATATTATATAATATTGTAATATGTCATTTATATATACTGTATATATATATATATATATATATATATATTTATTTATGTTTGTCTCTAAG